GTAGGTAATCTACCGTATACCCCTTACCGCGCCGCGCAGTACCCTGGTTATGACTTAGTTTGCTTCAAGAAGTAACGCCTATATATTATATTATGGCTCCCTATAGAATAGAACTGAACAAGTTGGTGAAATGGTGCCTTCTACATAGAAGTTACAGCCCACTGGAAGTCAAGAATTTGACTCGTAAAAAGTGTAGAAACTCGTAACAAAAATTTTATTCTAAAATTTATGGGATGTAGGGATGGAAAAATATCAGAAACTAGGGAGCATTTGGAATGGGAGGAGAATCTGTGTAACCCATTCCTACATTTACCACCTAATGTGAGTATACATCAACCCTGTGAGTGTAGTATATGAGAAGTGGAATGCAGGAATGGGTAATGTAGATTATCCTCCCATTCCAAATGCTCCCTAGTTTCTGATCCTTTTCCATCCGAACAGTTTTAGAATAACATTTTTTGTCACTAGTATCATATAACACAACTTAATGTTCCTCCAACCGAGGCGTTATAAACTAGTGTCATTGTTTAAGTGATATTTTGTAGGATTCGAACTTGTAATTCTTGACTACACCTACGTTAATTGTTCTGTACGACAATCTTTCTGAAGGAAGATATATGGCTTTTTCTAATTGTTGAAATACATGTGTTTTTAATGCTTCATCTTTATGTCCTTCCTAACCAACCACCCTAAAATATCTAAGAACAACGAAAAATAAAACTTAAACGCGCTTTCTACAGAAGAATAAAAAAACATCTTTAAAAGTTTATTATTATTAGCTGCTCTGACAACACAACTTATTACCCATCTTCGCAGTCAATAATTTTTCTAATTATTTTAGAAATGTGGCTTTGGCTTTTTCGAACTGGGAATGTTCAAATCATATTAATAATATAAATATATGAGCTTAACCAGCGGAGGTCGTATGAGAACCCTCTTCCAAGGGGAGTAGAAGTTCGAGGCAAGATAATTTTGTTTATGCATACTCACAGTAACGGATCAAAGGGAAGAGGAACATCTGTTGAGCACCTGTACACTACACTCGCACAGATAATGGAAGTAATTTTCACGGAAAATGTATGAGTAGTTTAGTAAATTTCAGCTGTTGAAAGTAGATAGTGGGAAAATTTGCTTCTAAACATTCCCACCAGATGGAACCCATTCTCCCAAGGCAGCAGGATATAAAATGAGGAACGATTTTATTTTGTGAAATAGTTTTCATCCAACTAAAAAAGCAAGGGTATTTTTATATCTGTTTATATCATGGAAAAAATCTTTCTGAGCTTCCAGGTTACAGTAATGATTATATCACAAAATTATAAAATGAAATATAAAAGAAATTATTTTTCAGAAACGTGCTTACCCTAAAGAGAAGCAGGAGAAGTTGTGTAGAACAATAAAAAAACCAGCTGGTAATGATGAGTTCATCTATGATTAATTAATTTTCTTGTCTCTGAACTTAAAATACATTAACCAGAATATAATGAAGGAAATGGTAACATTTTTATGGGAGTGTCGGTGCAAAATAGTACATTGTATTTCCCAGCTTGGTTATACTGAAGGTATTGTGTATAAAAACTTACTTCTTAATGTGACTACAAAACCATTTGTTGAATGTAGGTACAGTCACGTTAACAGGAAGAGCAGTCCGTTTAAATATGGCGGCCTGTACATTGTGTATAGTATCGCGTTCGCCAGGACGTCGGGAAAACCCAACCAAAGTTTTTTTTTTGTTGCTGTTTTGAATTTTGCGCAAAGCTACACGAGAGCTATTTGCGTTGGCCGTCCCTAATTTAGCAGTGGAAGAGTAAAGGGGAGGCAGCTAGTCATCACCACCCACCGCCAACTCTTGGGCTACTTTTTTACCAACGAATAATGATTGACCGTCACATTATAATGGGTCAACAGTTTGTGACACAATCAGTAAGTAACCTGGGAGCTTCGAAAGGTCAACAGTTTGTGACACAATCAGTAAGTAACCTGGGAGCTTCGAAAGGTCAACAGTTTGTGACACAATCAGTACTGTAACCTGGGAGCTCAGAAAGGTCAACAGTCTGTGATACAATCAGTACTGTAACCTAGAAGGTCAGAAAGGTCAACAGTTTGTGACACAATCAGTACTGTAACCTGGAAGCTCAGAAAGGACAACAGTTTGTGATACAATCAGTACTGTAATCTGGAAGCTCAGAAAGGTCAACAGTTTGTGACACAATCAGTACTGTAACCTGGAAGCTCAGAAAGGTCAACACTTTGTGATACAATCAGTACTGTATCCTGGAAGCTCAGAAAAGGTCAACAGTTTGTGACATAATC